AGGGAAAAGTACATTGTTTTATGCTGGCCTTAGGATATACACAATAAGATCAAGGAATTATAGTCTTGTTTCTAGTACAAGATACAATAATATATTCTGACAGTGATCTTAGATCATATACATTCTACTCTATCATGAAACATATGGAAAATTCTAGGTTAGAAAACTGATCTGTAGCCAAGATGTAGAAAGAATGCTGTAAGTCTAATTTTGGTCTACCCTAGCAGAAGAAATACAAAAAGATAGTTCAGGTAAGAAGATGCGATAAAAGATTGCAAGATTGAGAGCGAGTATGTTGTAGTGGTTAAGGTGCTAGCCTAGAAATCAGGAGACTGTAAGTTCTAGTCCCACCCAGTTGGCATGAAAGCCAACTGGGTGACTTTAGGCCTGTCACTCTTTCTTTGATAAATCCATCTCATAGGGTTGTTGTTGTAGAGAAAATAGAAGAAGAAAGAATAAATGAGTAAATTGACATTTGAAATTAGAGAACAGGAAGAGAAACAATTTTATTTGATATGGGATTTGTTTTATCAATGGATAGATAATAAATCATGGAACTGATGTATGAAATATGGGTTTGATGTAAAGATAAAATATCTGATGTTTTTTTTTTCTATAAAAGATATAAGTTTCTGTTATAAATTGGTATTTTAAAAATGGATTTATGCACAAGAGAATATGAACCGTTCGACTCACTGTCTGTAATTGTTTGGAATGATGATGGTTTTATGTTTTGTTTTTGTTTTAAAATAAAAAAAATTCTCAAAAAAAATCAAATAAATAAATAACACACATCCATATATGTAAGAAGTTCCATAGCCCCAAGAGTCTTCATTAGAGTTTAATAAAATACTTAATTACTTGATTCGTATCTCTGAAATCAATCTGCAAAGCAGATTTTATGTATTGATGTTAACACTTTCTAAATTTTGTGATAGTTTCCTACCCAAGCCTATATATCTTTAAGGCAAAGAACATATTGAAATTTGTAAATTAGTCAGAGATTAAACTAGCAAAATATTTCATTTTTCAGAGAGAATGTAAACCAAATTTATACTGTACAGTATAAGAAATAAGACCAGAGAGAGAGAGAAATGAACAAGAAAATTTTGAAATTGCTGAAAATTTGAGAGATCAAGAAACTGAAATTTGAAGATTTATTGAACCCTAGATGTGATCAAGCTTGACATCTGAGAAATTACTGAACTCACTGGTTCTAAAACTTGTTTGTTTCTATGCATTTAATCATACTGTATATCCATCCTCTTTTATTTCCTACAAATTGATGAATTTTTGAAAACCACAAAAATTTAAAGTGAAATGAGATTTTAAATACCTATTGTTATATTGTTTTTTATAAAATATGCATTTATAAGTAGTTGTTTGCACACCTTTAACTTTTTTACAATATAATGTAATACAACCAGTTGTATTCCTCCAAAGACCAATCATTTCTTTTCCCAGTATTCTCTACATCCCAAAATCAAGAACTGATTTTAGGGTATGGAAAGAAGGCAGAAGAGAAGAGCTTCTTATTCTATGAATGAGTGTCCATCTTTATAATGTTCCATACAGCATACTTACATTCAGTTATTTATAGCTCAAATATAGTTCAAGTATCTGTATGTTCAAAGTTTTCATAGCTAATCAAATATGTGTATCTTGGGAGAAAATGTAAACAACTTTTATTACATTTTTAGAGCTAAGAAATTTGGAGAAGTGCAAAAATGTAATCAGTACTTTAGTCAAGGATATACAAACCCAGTTTGTACAACAGTATACAGACTGAAATTTATTTATTTATTCAATGTTATGGCCACCAATCTCAACAAGTGATTCTGGGTGGTAAACAAAATTAAAAGAAATACAATTGCAAACTAAAAAAAACAAAAAACAAACAGGAGCTGAGAAAATATATTCCATATCATTACAAATATAAGTATAAATGGATCCTTGAATATATTTGGATCCCTATAGCCTGATAGAACTTAGATAGTCTTTAGGGATTTACAAATGGCAAGCATGGTCAAGGCTATCCTGATCTCTAGAGGGAGAATGTAGGGCACAATGGCAGAGAAGCAGGGGTGAAATTCAGCAGGTTCTGACAGGTTCTGGAGAACTGGCAGCGGAAATTTTGAGTAGTTCAGAGAACCGGGAAATACCATTTCTGGCTGGCCCCAGAGTGGAGTGGCAATGGACATTTTGCAATATCCTTCCCCCAGGAGTGGGAAGGGAATGGGGATTTTGCAGTATCCTTCCCCTGGAGCGGGGTTGGAATGGAGATTTTGCAGTATCCTTCCCTTGCCATGCCCAACAAGCCACACCACGCCCAACAAGCCATGCCCACAGAACTGGTAGTAAAAAAATTTGAATTCCACCACTGCAGAGAAGACACATCTTCTAAGTCCTACCAACTAGCATTCCTTAGCTGACAAGATGTGAAGCATGCCCATCCTGCATGACTAGATCAGATGGGTAGAAGCAATTGATGAGAGATGGTACCTAAGTAACTCATTCATAGCCAGGAAGAACTTTAAGAATGTCAACCAGCACCCTGAATTGCATCCGGAAGCACCTTGGTAACCAATGCAATGCAGAGAGTACTGGTGTTACATGTGCCAAATAGCCAATATTTAAAATCATCAAATATCTTTAGAAGGCTATTTAAATGTAGAATCTGAAGAGAAAAATGAAGTTTGCCCTGGGTTGATTCTTATTTTGACTGCTTAGAAAGACCAGAAAACGCTATTCAGTATGAATCCAAAAGTTCTTTCTTGAGACCTTGAGAACAGTTATTTCAGGGAAATAATCACTATCTCCTCCAGATGTTTTGGGTTACTATTTTCCAAAGTGTGGCCATTGACCATCTGGCTAGCCTCATGGCAGTTATAGTTCAAGACATCTAGACAGGATCACAATACCTGACCTTGAAATGTATATTATTTCTGTTCCTTCAAAATGAAGAACCCCTATAAGGTTATTGTTTTAGAAGAAAATTTTATTTTATTTTTCTTTTAACTCAAAAGCTGATATTTTTCTACATTTCCACAGAACATGAAAACTGCTATCTTATAATAAAATGTTCCATTTTGTATTCTCTAAACTAACAGATACTTGATGATCTCAGTTCACTAATAAATGGAGTCATTATGTTTATTTTCCTCAACAATTTTAAATGTGTATATAATTTTAAGACTATATCACTCTTACAGTCTGGGATATGTCAAGATTCATATAAAGCCAAATAAAATATCCTCCACCCTGCTTCATAATTTGACAAGTCCAAAACACATCCTACACATGGCAGCTGAATGCCTTGAATTCATCACAGCTCTTCAGTATGTTGAAAAATGGGTACATCAGTTTCAATTCCAGAGTATTCTTGATAAGACTTTTTTAGACATTCACAATACCAGAATGCAGAAAACAATAAATAGGCTACAACTACAATCTTGTTTGGAATGATAAATACTATGATAAATAAAAATAATTGCTTGCTTAATTACAAAAGTGTTACATTTTATTGTACCATATTGAATTATATGGCATTTAAGTAGAATATGAATATTTGATGGCATGGAAGTTGTGGGGGCTTAAATAAAATGCAGCTCTAAACATTTTAGCTTCTGCAGCAAAATTATGTTGACTTTATTTTATATTGGTTTAGGGTTTAAATTTCTTTTTTTTTTCCAGAAGAAAAGCTTTTTATTTATGAACAGAACCTCTGTTTTAACGATTTGAAATCTACCTAGAACAATTTTCTATTTCCACAATGGGCTTTTCAGATACCCAGAAAAATCCTGTTTGCTGCTTCAATTGATTCAAGTATTCAATTGATATCCAGAGGCACTGTATTTTTGTTCTTAATAGCAGAATAAAGTTGTCATGACATGCTGTTTTGATTGTTTCATGATCCCATTCATTCATTTCACTTCTCCTTTAAAATCCTTCATATCAGGATAAGGAACATAATCTCTGATAAAATATGCATTTTTTTCCCAGTTAAGTGTTTTCTATAGTATGTGCTGGGCTGGACAGTAATATCTCTTACTTAATTTTCTCATCCCAGCATAGTTTTATACATAAATCAGCACCATAACCCCCACCTTCTTGGCCTTTTCTTAATCATATATCCACAAACATTGTTATATTTTCTTGAACTGATTTGTTGTACCTTTTTGTTCTTGCACCTTTTCAATGGTCCTTGTTCCTTCCTTGGCTAGTCTGCTATGTTATTTCATTGGCACTTTACGGAAATATTCCAGGTTCCCTCCACCATGCCTCCTTCTTTCTTTTTATTAACTTTTTCTAGTTCCAGGCTGCCATGTAATTTTACTGCTTATCCCTTTTCTTCTTTGCCTTTCTCTTTTTTTCAAACTAAGTTAATGTTCTCAGGTTCTAGCTGGATTCACTTCCACATATTTTCATCCTTAAATTTCTATGTACTTCTTTAAACCTTGGAATTAGGACTACCACATTTGAGATCCAAAACTCCAGATGACCATGATATAGCAGCATAAAGGTAAACAACTCAGAAATGTTGCTGCTTTCTTATCATATTCTGAAGTCTTGCAGCTCAGATCTGGAAGCCCTACTGAAATCCATCAAAATTTCTTTTTTCTACAGGTGCTGTTTTGGCAACATAACTTACTTAAGGATTGGCATCTGGAGAATCATTTCACTATTACTATATCAATTACATGAGTGCCCAAAAGCATCTTTGGAAAACTGAAACTGGTAACCTTCTAATATTGGGGTTTAATTCAAACCCTGTATTATAGTGCTTGGTCCTTCCTGTATATTTGATCATTCTTTCATGGTTGAACTTGTATTTAGATTGTATTTTATGACTGTACCCATTGTAGAGTTGGGTGGTCTTAATCATGTTTAAATAAAATAAAATAAAAAATAAGCTTGGACATTGTAACATTTATCTACATATTTTCTGGAGTGTGGCATTGTTTAGCTTTCTTGTTAAATTTCAAATATATCTTACTTACAAAAGTGATATTTTCAAATGATGGTTGTATTATTTGTAGAAGGAGCATCTGTATCACTGGATCTAAAGCTGCAATGCAAAGAAAGGAAAAGAAATATCCAATTTTATTTTGTAATAAAGCTGGAGGGAGAAATAGAATCAAGTATTGTCAAAATAATATGGCTGAAGTAAAATAAATGTTAAAGCAGGGATATCATTAGAGTTGTTCTGGATGGAGATTTTTTTGGTTCTGTTTATATTTTGCCCTATGCACCTAAACAGGTAGTTTCTCAATTTTATGTTAAAAACATTTCTTTAAGCTTACATTAGATTCTATTAATCTAATAGTTTAATTTTAATAAAAATTAAACAGTTAAGTTAACCAAAGGTTTCCAATAGAAGAGACTATATGCAGAGCAGGGTTGAACTGTAGAGTCCTTGGTAGTATCTAAGCTTGGTTGTTTGTTTGCAGATATTTCATTACCAGACTAGATAAAATCATTGGTACCAATGAGATTGAGGTTTGTTCCCTATTTATATACAGTACTTTGTTTAATTCTTATAATTTCATTCCAGTCCTGGCCTACTTTAAAAAGATTCTTGAGAAGATAAAATAAAATACAACCATATATGGGCTTTTGAAGAAAGTCCAATGTTAATAAAATCAAAAGACCTCATTGCTAGGGTCTGGACCAGGGGTGAAACCCAGCAGGTTCTGACAGGTTCTGGAGAACCAGTAGTGGAAATTTTGAGCAGTTTGGAGAACTGGCAAATACCACCTCTGGCTGGCCCCAGGGTGGGGTGGGAATGGAGATTTTGCAATATCCTTCTCCCAGGAGTGGTGAGGGAATGGAGATTCTGCAATATGGTTCCCCTGGAGTGGGGAGGGAATGGATATTTTGCAGTATCCTTCCTCTGCCATGCCCACCAAGCCACGCCCACCAAGCCACACCATGCCCAAGCTACGCCTACAGAACCAATAATAAAAAAAAATTGGATTTCACCATTGGTCTGGGCCAACCTCTTAAGCTTCTTTTAAATCCCAAGTGTGGTGACCACATTTTACCTGCAAAAGTCTCGATCACTGTATCCCAGATCTGCCAGCCCTAATTACCAGGTTAATTAATATATGCAAGGAATCAGCATTATTAGATTTCACTCTGTTTGTTTGCATGAATGTATGTGTGTGCAATTGAGCCAATGTTGACTCTTGGTGACTTCCTGGGCAAGTTTTTTGTGCAAAGTTTTTGGTAATGGTTTGCCATTGCCTGCTTCTTAGGGCTGAGAGAAAGTCTGGCCCAAAATAGCTTCAAGCCTAAAACGGAACTAGAATCTTGGTTTCCATTATGATGCCTTAACCACTATTGCAAAGTTTATATATTCTGTCTCTAAACTTATTTAGGCTAAAACTATAATGTGATTCTGTGCTGATCTATCAGTTTTGGAAGATTATTCTGTCTCTTCCTCCTCTAGAGATTGAAATTTCTTCCAATTTCTAATCTGACTTTACTTTTATCCTTTGTTCTTATCTATATTATTTATTAGTACTGTTTTGAATCACTCTTATCTACTTAGGTTTCTAAAATAAAAATGCTGAAGATCAGCCAAAGTTTTTTCACATATTGATGAATCGTGAATGCAACATGTTTTATCATGACAACCCGCATAGCTCCACACCTCAATGACAGCTCATAAATCCCCCATAGCACCTCCAAGAACTGAGGGACCCATAAAAATGTACATATAAAATAGGTAAATATGTAGCATTTTGGCTATATTGAAAAAGCATTTTTGTTTTATTATCATCATGTGTTGTTATTCTCTACTTTCTTTCAGACTAATGACCTGAAATGTATACTTTCACAGTTTATATCATTCTGACACAAATATTTTAATAGTGCTGCATTTGAAAGACAAATAGTATTTTTTTTCCTTTTCAATGAGTGCTATTTATATCATTTGTGTTCTTTTCTTCCTGATTCCATCATAGAAATGATGCAATCAAAATATAAAATAAATGATAAAACACGCATTGGGATTTCACAAGGGCAGGACAAGAAACAATGGATGGAAACTACTCACGGAGTAAAGCAACCTGGAATTAAGGAGAAACTTCCTAATAGTGAGGAAAATTAACCAGTGGAACAGCTTGCAGTCAAAAGTTGTGGGTGCTTCATCACTGGAGGTCTTTAAGAAGAGACTGAACAATCACTTTTCTGACATTGTTATAGGGCCGTGATGGTGAATCTATGGCACGGGTGCCAAAGGTGGCACGCAGAGCCATTTTGGTGGGCACGCAAGTGTTGCCCTAGCTCAGCTCCAGCACGCATGCATGCACTGGCCAACTGATTTTTAGGCCTTCCTGTCCCACCAGAGGTCGGGAAACTGTCTATTTCCAGTCTCCAGAAGGCCTCCAGGGGGATGGGGAAGGCTGCTTTTGCCCTCCCCAGGCTCCTAGAAAGCCTTTGGAACCTGGGGAGGGGGAAAAATGGGCCTACCGGGCCCACCGGGCCATCGCATGCCAAAAGCAGGGGAAATGTGGGGGGGGATCACATGCACATGCACGGAAGGGCAGGGCGCATTGAATTATGGATGTGGGCACCCACTCCCCCCCTCTCCCCCCGTTTTTGGCATGCAACAGCAAAAAGGTTAGCCATCACTGTTATAGGGTCTCCTGCTTGAGCAGGAGGTTGGACTAAAAGACCTCCTTCCAGCTCTATTCTAATTGAACCACTCTACCTTTTTTATATATATGTTGCCCTACTGAATATATGTACACTAGTAGTGTCCCAAGACTGTCTGAGTTGAATCCCCTTTCCATTCCACATACAAATAGCTGTGGTAAGACATTCATTCAACATTGACCAAGAAACAATCTTATATTTTATTTGGAGCCATCAAGTGGGTTACAGGACAGTGTAACTGCACTTGCATGATTAGACAGCTTTATTCTTTAGCATAATGTTGTGACTTACAACCTACCATCTAATTCCTAGAATTTGCATCAAATGGAGTGATGCAAAAATGTAATGCTTCAAGACTGGGGTCTACCAGAGAGGTTTTTCCTATAAATTCTGAGTAAAATCTAATAGATTCTGGAATTTTCTGCTGTCTTACATAGAACTCTTGGGCAAAAAGCAATCAAAGCAATCAATATTTTGGAGCATTTCGGCAAAATGCTCCAAAGATTTTTGGCTGCTTCCCTTCTTTGTAGATGCTGTACAATTATTCTAGTCATTACTAGGATTAACTTGCTCAACTAGATGCCTGAATCCTGTTTTTTTCTCTTGCATGTATGATGTATTTTTCCTTCCATATGAATAACACTGCCAGACTCTGACAATACAGGCTGCCATCATTATGTTGTGTCCCTTGCATTTGTTAAAAGATGCTAGCATTGCTAGCAAATCCACCCTGCTCTTAGAAAAACCACCAACTTTGAGGAAGAGAATTCAAATGAGCATGAAAAAGAGAAGGAAAGAATACAATATGTTTCCTTGCAGCATAGGGCCCACAAATCAGTATTCTGCCATATCTCTCCCCCCTTCCCTCAATTCCAGGCAAAACTCCTTCTCTCAAAGTCCTGTTTTCAGGAGGTATGTAATAAACTAAATAGGTCTTTACTGACCATTGATGACTGTGCTAGATGGCAATACCTAGAAATATCTCTTTGCTAGAAATTGACCCCCCAAATCAGTGCCTATAAGCTGGACAAGAAAAAAGAAAAAGAGCTAAGAGTTTTGATAGTTTGCCTTATCCATTTATTATTTTCATCTTATTGTTTGTATCTGTGCAATATGGAAACAGAACATCTAAATAAACTGTGATGCCTGTTTATGAAAATCTTTGCTATTTCATTGTTCAACCTTTTCTTCACAATTTGACTTCCTTCATCAACCTCAGTTTGCTGCACTAGCAACTACAAATCAATGTACTGAAGCTATGGCAACCGCATTGAAAGCAAAATTACCTCTTAAATGAGCAATTGCTCAAAACCTTGTTTTCTCCAGATTCATCTCCTATAAATGTGCTGTGTTTTTTGCTATATTTTTGTTAACTGCTTATAAAAACCAGCTGTTTGTGGTTTGGTTTGGTTTGGTTAGGTTAGGTTAGGTTAGGTTAGGTTAGGTTAGGTTAGGTTAGGTTAGGACTAACGAACAGTGTTTCTATAAATATTTTTGAATTTGATGGAAACTGAAAACAACCTGTAATAAAACAAACTGAAGGTGCAATCTTTCATATAATAACAGTTTTCAGGCATTTTTTCTTTTCAAAAGGAATTAAAAATACTAGGATTTGGAATAAAAAATTAGAATTATGTTTCTGTAATATTGTGATTCACATAATAATGCTATAAATTGTTCTGTTACAACAGACACCGAACATATAGGTGGGACATCTTGTGAATAAAATATGAAGAAAAAACTGTGCTAACTATAATATGTACAGCTAAATGGAAAATATATACAGTATATATTCTAGAAATTATCAGTTTTGTATTAGACAGCTTGGTAATTTTTTTCCACAGTAAGAACATTTTATTTCCTACAGAATAGCTACTTAGGAGTTTTGTCTTTTTCTACAATCGTTTCTACTATCTAAAAACCAAAATGAAACAGGAGCCTTATTGTGAAAAAGCCATCCAAATATATATATTATTTCACAGTTGTTCTTTAAAACCCTATCTGCCAGGTTCATCTGTCATACAAGTTATGTCACTTTCCATTTATATAGCCAACTTTTAAAATAAGTTTTCCTGATTTCCCCTCTTCATTTAATTTTATTTTCTCTAGCAGTTACTCAACTTCTCGGTTGCTAAAATAGTTTTAAATGTTTCATTTTGTAAGGAGTCAATGTGCAGAGAACAACTGTAGGTCAGCAGCAAAATATGTACTTGATAACTAGAAAAAATAACATCACTGTAACATTTCTACTCTATATTCCTTCAGTGAGCCTTGGGTCAATCACTGTCACTCAGCCACTAGTCCATTCTTATGTATGGTGATTTAAGGAAGAGAATTCCATGAAAACCCTTGTTGAGTTTAAACTGATTTGAATCTCACCAGCTGCATCTTAGCTACCCTTATTTATTTTTTTTCTTATCAGCCAAGCAATCTGCCATGTTTTAAAAATACATCTGTGTGAAATCAAGGATAAAGAAAAATAGAATAAAAGGAACACTTCTTGGAAAGATAATCTTTGAGATGCTGGTGGGCCAATTTAATCCTTCTTTTACAGACACTTTCAAATGGACATTCCTGAAAAATATAGAACAGTGTTATGGCAGAAATGGGGAAATAGACAATTTCCAGGAGAAATTGCACTGAGAAACACATTATTAAGGAACTCTAAAGCTATTTCCTGGCATCATCTAACCATACATGTGTTTCTCAAGTGATCCTCCATCTGAGTCCAGTGGAGTTTGGATGTTTCCACAAAAGCCTTTTACATTATTATTTTTCCACCATTTGTTGGAAAAGAAATTGAAATAGAATTTCCATGCAGGAAAAAGAAGGATTGCAAGATCTAAATGAAATGATGCAGAGAAAATTCCAATTTAAGAAGAATATGCTCCCTTCTTCCTTTCTAGGAATAACTGACAATATTTACTTTGAAATCTACATATTTTAAGAAATATAATAAAAGTCAGACTAATTTTATTGATTTCTCCTTTGTGAATTATCTCATAGATTTATAAGTAAGGCAACCACATTAGACTTCAAACAATGATAGATGCAGATCCATCCTTAATAACAATGAAATAGTTTTAAAATGTTAGCAGTCAATGTATAGTTAGGTTTCTGCACAAGTGTTTTCAACACTTTTCTGGAAATTTGAAAGATTGAACGTTTCAGTATTCTTGAAACAAGAAAGGGTTAACAATTGCTATTTACATTCAAAGAAGAGTTGGCTCGGCTTGGTTTTGTGTTGCTTTGAACTTGGGCCTTCATATATTCCCCATGGTTGGGAAACTCATTTTAGCTGCCCTCATAAGAGAGTTCAGAGATTTATCAACACAGCTATACCTAAAGAGCAGCCTTAGAACTAAATCAGCTTACAACAATAGTTTAAGAAAATAACTGAAGAAAACTGCTTCCAATTCAATCAGTTAATGGAACTAAGAGGAGAATGTAATCATCTGTATTCAATTTTAGTCAAGACCCAAAAGATTAACAAGCAACTCAAATGATATAAAATGTTATTATTGCAAGGCTCAAAGCACCTCTTATTACAAGCATTATGAAGCAACTACTTGAAAGTATGAAACCAACTAACATTACTTCATTTCTAGCTTTAATGGCCTTATGAGTTGTATTTTTGAATGGAGAAGATGCATGGATTTAGAATGCATGGCCAAGGCAAGCTTTTTAATCTTTTGGTTATGCCCTGGAGAACTGATAGAAGTGGCAGTTCAAAAATCACTGTTCACTGTTCACAATTAAAAAGACACATTCCACCATTACTCTACTACTAAGCAATGCATATACCATTGCTTAGTAGTAAAGTGTGCATTGTGCATAGAGTTAATTGTGGTTTAATTTTCCAATATTTCCAATAAGAAGGATCTAAACAGTATTACAGCTAGGAAACTTCTGGGAGTTGAAGTCCACACATCTTAAAGTTGCCAAGTTTGAGAAACAAATGTTTAAATTAATGGTCAAAACTTCTCCTGTTCGTTCTTCAAGAAGTGGATGCTTTCAAAGTATTTGGCAATATTTGAAATAATCAAATACAATTTTATTCTTTTCTTCGAAGGCATTAATATTCATATGTTAAAGTATAATCCCAAGAGTTATTTCAATGACCTCATTATTGTTTATGATTCCTAACTTTAATGGACAAAAACATTTGAGAAAAATTATATTAACATGCAATGACAAGATAATTGTTGATTCTGTCCCAAACTTCTTCAGAAAAATCACCTAGCAGATTGGTGCTTGATTTGGAGAATGACTGCCCGATCAAGTATCAGGAAATTGTCTACCAAGTGTTATTTCATCTAACTGAATGCTGTTAGCAGCTCTCTACTTACTATAAGCATTTCCACCCTTACCCAGTGATACCAAACATTGAATAATACTGCACCTAGTCCATTATAATGGAGAAAGGTGAAATAATACTGATCTAATACTCAGATCAGTAAAAGATGGTAGGAGAATAGTTCCCACAACATGGAAAAGGATGTAAAATTGTACATCTGCAAAAGCATCATCATTTGTGATAAACAATGATACCATTGGCAGCATGTTGGATGGAATACTACTTTATTTGATGTAACTCTAGGGATGACTTCAAGGGTCAATTAATCGTAATTCAGTCTTGGCTCTTCCACATGAACAATATGTACTCTAACAATGACTCTATTTCTGTCTTCAGTATTGAGGCTATATTGGAGAAAGATCAGGTTCAGGTATAAAATAAAATATACAATAATGTATATTATTATAATGTAACAAGCTTAAATGAGTTCAAGAGAAAAAGAAATGTTTTCTACAAACGTAGTGGTTGATGCAAACAAAAAAATATATGCATTGGGAATGACACATTATTAGGCTTGAGTAAATGATTCAAACAAGATGCCTAACAGACAAACACACACAAAAAGCTTTGCTTCAAATAACCTTTTTCCAGACATATGAAGGTGCCTTGGAAGCTGCTCTGAAATGTTTCTTCATGTGTGAGCAAACATATCCACTTCATTAAAATACATACACAGCAATGCATACACAGCAATGGAAAGATAGTCAGGATAAGTTTCCAAAACAGCTATGTACAGCTGAAAAAAGATACCAATGAATCCAAAAAGAAGTGTTTCATATCCACACCCACATGTTGCAAAAACAATTTCTGAAGTTCTTGCAAAACCCATGTTATGATTTTCTTTTGCTAGAAAATTATCCAGTATAGTAGGTGGTGGGAGCAAAGTGATAGATGTCTCTCATATGGTGTTTATGACAATTAGTCTTAACAAGGATTTCAGCATTAGACCATGGGGCCATTTTGAAGTAATATTTAAATCCACTGAAGGGTACATCTCTCCTCTATGTTGTAATATGGTGCTCTCTGACTTTCAATTAGAACAGACAGTTTTATACATGAAATCCTCACCTAATGTAATGGGAAGGGAAGGGAAGGGAAGGGGAGAGGAGGGGAGGGGAGGGGGGTAGGGGAGGGGAGGGGAGGGGAGGGAGGGGAGTGATGATATTTACCAAGCACATCTGTAGCATTAATAACTCCCAGTTCAACAGGAGTTGCTGCTTTCAGTGTATATGTTGATGGTGTCTGAAGAAGAACACTTGTTTCTCCAAAGGATTGGTGTCGATGTAACTGGCCAATGAAAACTTGCCTCATTTGCTTAGCCTGTTTAAAAATATAAACCCAAGTAATTTTTTGTTGGTTCATGTCTAAAAATGGAGAAGATTTGGAAGACAGACAGGAAAATATGCATGTAAACTGCAGACACAATCCATCATTACAATATTCAGGTTAATGCTATTTCACATGTACTTCAATAAAATCCAAGTTTCATTCAGAGCATGAAAGGCAATGGTTAGGAGCATGAGTTCATTGCCATAGATATATGCCTATATATAGACATCCAATTTTGATTTATGTGCAAGCTTAAAAATCAACAGAATAATAGAATAATAGAGTTGGAAGGAACTTTAGAGGTCTTCTAGTCAAACTATTGCTTAACGCATTGTAAGCCGCCCTGAGTCTCCAGAGAAGGGCGGCATATAAATCAAATTTTTAAAAAAAAAACAAAAAAAAAAAACTCCCAGATCAAGCAGGAAACCCTATACCATTTTAGACAAATGATAGTTCAATCTCTTCTTAAAAACCATCAATGTTGGAGCACCAACAACTTCTCAAGGCACATTGTTTCACTGATTAATTGTGTGTACTGTCAGGAAATTTATCCTTTTTTTTTTTTAATTTGATTTATATGCCGCCCTTCTCCGGAGACTCAGGGCGACTTACAATGTGCTCAGCAATAACCTTCATCCTTTTGTATATTTATACAAAGTCAGCTTATTGCCCCCACAACTGGGTCCTCGGTTCTAGGTTGGTTCCCTCCTTGATTAGTTTCCATCCATTGCTTCTTGTCCTTCTCCAGATGCTTTGTAGAATAGATTGACCTCCCTTTTCTTTGTAGCAGCCCCTTAGATATTGTAATATCCCTATCATGCCACCCCTAGTCCTTCTTTTCATTAAACAATTCTTGCAATCATTCTTCATGTGTTTTAGCTTCCGGTCCCCTCATCATCTTTATGCTCTTCTCTGCACTCTTTCTAGAGCCTTGACATCTTTTTTAGTTGTGATGACCAAACTGGATGCAATAGTCAAAGTCTGGTCTTACAAAGGCATTATAAACTATATATTATAAAGGTACTAACACATGATGTGATCTTGATTCTATCCTTTTATTAATGCAGCCTAGGACTGCATTGGCTTTTTTGGCAGCTGCCAAAATTTGAACTGATATCAGAATGGAAAGATGAGCAAGTAGAATGAAAGACTACTATCTTGTTCATTATTGTCCATACAGTTACAGTCCATCCAGTTCTCTTCATATTGAAGAATTCAAGCCTTTTCTCCTTGGCATATATAAGTATACCAGATATTGAAGTTGAACTAAACTGTTGATTAGAATTGGGAAACTGTACACACCTCCCTTCTCTCTGTCCTTGATTAAACATCCTAATTCTGAAATACCAGAAGGCAAGGTCTGGATTGAATAGATTTTTGAGAGACCCACAATTTATTTTACAGATCATGATAAACCAAGCTGATCGTATTGTGCTTAGTAAGGTAAAGGTTGAGCTCCATATGTGTAGCACAGTCTAATGTTCACATAATCACCAAACAATGGTCCCAAAATCCTTTAGAGAGATAAAGCTCAAAGAACATATTAATATATCTATCATATGGTCACCAGGCAACAACTGATAGGTCAATTTCTATTCTTATCAGAATAATAATATTATATATCTGGGCTTTATTTTGTGAGAAGTAACATCACGACTGCATTAATACCTTGTTCCTGAATATTTTTCATCAGAGGCAATGAAATGTAGTTTCATGCTTTTAAGCAGTATTCTAAAAATGTTTTTTTTTCTCACAATGTTAAATGTCCACCTGTGAGAGATCTGTACAACTCAGAGCTATAATGAACTTGGTTCATACAAATTAGTAAGGTGTTATTTATTTCTTCATTTTTAAATATGTAACACCTATATTGTTCAATTCATAATTTCATAATGCCATCACATTTTTTTTATTCATAAAAAGGCTTCCTACTGAAAAGCTTATTCATAAATTCCCTATTCCAATGTGGTCAAAAGAAGAATTTCCTAGAGGAAAATCTTGTTCCTTACCATTTTCCCCAAAGGTCGCTTTACAAGAGCTGGAATTATTCGGTAAGCATTGCCATGTCCAGACTTAATGAATCCTACATATTTGCTTATTTCTCCTTCTTCCATAAACACTGCAACAAGAACAAGAACAATAAATCATTTCTCTGTATGTATATATATATATATGTGTGTGTGTCTGTGTGTTTGTGTGTGTGTGTGTAAAGAGGTTTCCCACCATAATTTGAAACAAGTGAATGTTTGCAAGCTTGTGAGAACGTATGGAATGATGTGAATACTATCAAAATGAAATAAGGATGAAGTGTATAAAATTGTCCCTAGCCCTAGACTACTATTATATCCCCCATTTCTACTATTGATAGAAACATGCTGCAAATTCTTCAATATATCTGGAATGCATTATCTATACAGTTACTTAGAATACAAGTTTGCTATTTTTTAAAAAAAAAAATTGATTTATATGCCGCCCTTCTCCAGAGACTCAGGCAGCTTACAATGCGTTATTGTAAGTATTTAGTGTTGGATATATCATTCCCATTTATGAAATTGTTATTTTGGTGGTACAGAATAGAGGAGAGAATCACCCAGGGCTGTCTATGTTAAATAGCCAGAGTTTTGTTTCCAGTGGTTCTAGAAAGTCCTATGCCTTATGTGGTGGCTCAGTGGCTAAGACACTGAGCTTGTCAATCGAAAAGTTGGCAGTTCAGCGGTTCAAATCCCTAGTGCCATGTAATGGGGTGAGCTCCTGTTACTTGTCCCAGCTTCTGCCAACCTAGCAGTTCGAAAGCACATAAAAAAAACTTCGGTAGGAAGGTAACAGCATTCCGTGCGCCTTTGATGTTTAGTCATGCTGGCCACATGACCACAGAGATGTCTTTGGACAGCACTGGCTCTTCAGCTTTGAAACGTAGATGAGCACCACCCCCTAGAGTCGGGAACGACCAGCACATATGTGCAAGGGGAACCTTTACCTATATATATATATAACAGATGCCTGTTGCTCATGTATCTCTCTCCCTGCTATTGTCTTTTATTCTGTTTTTGCCAATTAAATGTGCTTCTTACTGTTTGATTATATTTAATAACTGTTCCATTCCAGAGACAAAACATTTGGGGAAGACTGAAATATTATTTTCTCCTATGAACCAAGTTGATTTGGTAGTACCAAGAGTAGTCCTTAAATTTTCCAGAATAAATCTTCTGGAAGAAAAAGTGGTTTCTGGTTTCAGGGCCAAGCCAAAATCAAAACATTGTAACACTCCACTTTGTCCATTGCTCTTTGTATCAACCTTAACTAAATCAAGTAGGAAGAAAGGATTGCTTTTTGACACAAAAATGGCTTAATGAAATTACTACATGAAATAAATCACATATCTGCTATAATGAAAACAGGGAGACAAGCACTACACTGTTCATTACAGAAGTCTATATGGAAACCAAGGGGAAGAAGCCATAGAACATTAAGCAGACTGCACAGCTGTGAAGAACACAGGCTCCGTGGAACAGGAGTAGTGTAAAGTCATTGCAGACTTTTATTTGATGTACAAATACAAGAGCAAAGCTCTATTGAAGTCAGAGAAGCTATGAAACTGATTTTTCTACACCAGCTGGATTGCTCAGCTTGAGTTGGCACCTAACATTTTTCCACTGCTGGAAAAAAAATAGCAATAATAAATGCAGATGCTTTCCAAATGTAATGTTGCCATTATATGCTCCTTTGTGACTGTTCATTGATGAAAAATGGCTAGGGACTAAAAACCACTCATTATTTAACCCACATTTACTGGCAACTGACAATAAAACACTGATAGTACTGTAAATGCTAAGGTGACATTAAGGCTCAAGTAGATTTTTTTTTGGTAAGAAATAACTTCATCAGGGATTCTACATTGAACTAACACCATGACTTTCATATAATAGAAGAACACACCCAAAGGCTGATGATAATATTTAATAATAAACATTTTGAGGAACACATTCTTCCCATCTGATAATTACATAAAGAACAGTGTGCTTGCTATGTGTTATTGAGTTTAACCAAAATCCTATTTTTTCAGATATTATATATTCTCTTTTATATTGAATCGGAATTGGAAAGGGGAATGGGGACTAGGAAAGATCTCTCTTAAATTAAATTTCATTTCACGACGAAAGAGTTCTTATGATGTTGCAGAATGCTGTACATATATCAGGAACTTTATCTTAATAACAATAAAAATTCAGAAACATGTAAAAATGAAGTTGAGTTATTCACATATTCTTCATCATTGCTTTGAGAAAATATTCAAACTAGTTGCTACCATCTAATTGCTACAAGATTTGTAAAAACTGCCTCTTTCTTCAGATAGGCCATTAAACAGAAGATAAGGAACATTGGTCTCAAAGACCGACCGGTAATACAGTCCAGCAGGACATGCCCTTTGGTCTACTAATATCTCCCTGAAGTCACTATACAAAGATCCATGCTTTCTGAGCTATCATTGAGGAATATATGGATACACTGTTTCTTTGAGGCCTTCTTTTTCCTTATTCTGAATGTTCTTTAGGAATGATACACATTAAACAAAACCAGCACTTGTGAATCTATGATTAAAGAGCCTTTGCAAAGAGAACATCTTCAACAATTTACAGTCCAGCATTTTATCAAATTGCCTTTTCCAAATTCTGATTCACTTAGGTGTAACCAACATCTAGGGGAAAGTCACTCAAGCCAGGTGATTTTGAGGTGGTTCCTGCTTAAATGTCAGTGCAAAGTATGGTAATTGATTTATCCTGTTGATTTCCCAGAAAATCCAGTGAACTAATCATCATCCTAGTTATATCAGATAGCATAGAGATAACTCACAGAAAAACATGGACAATGTGCTGCAAAAGCTAAAAGAAGAAGGCAATGACATATTTAGACCACATAATAATATGGATATTGATATATATATGTATATTGATATATATATATATATATATACAAACTGCAACTCTGTGTTGCTCTCTTTGTCAGCAGAAAAAAGGCCCAGAAACTTGTGAATGAGATTTCACAAACCTAGGTCTGTAGAACAACTAAGTTTACGTAGGTAAAACCTGGCTAGAAAGAATATGCACATAAAAGCCTACGAAAAAGAAAAAAGATACATTGTACCTTTACAGGAAGGATATCTGAGAAGTGGGTGTGGCTCACTGACGACGCCTTAAAAGGCAGAAATAGCTATCTGAGTCTCCCAGAGAGCAACACAGAGTTGCAGTTTGTCAGCAGAAAAAAGGCCCAGAAACTTGTGAATGAGATTTCACAGAACCTAGGTCCGTAGAACAACTAAGTTTACGTAGGTAAAACCTGGCTAGAAAGAATATGCACATAAAAGCCTATGAAAAAGAAAAAAAGATACATTGTACCTTTACAGGAAGGATATCTGAGAAATGGGTTTTCGTGGGTGTTTGTATGTAGGTCTTTGGTTATTCGGGTCTTCTCCCACGTAAAATTGGAAGTGTCTTGGCAACGTTTCGACGAAGTCTCATTCGTCATCTTCAGGCTGGTGTTCTCGGCTTCGTGCTTCCAGGAGCAATGTGAGATCTCAGCTGTCTCTTCCTTTTAACTGCTAGTGGGGGTGTGAACTGATTGGGTGGGGACTTGGCTGTGTTCTGATTGGGTGGAGGTGTGTTCTGATTGGTTAGGGGCTTGGCTGTGCTCTGATTGGATGGGGGGTTGGTTGTGCTCTGATTGGCTGGAGGTGTGTTCTGTTTGGGTGGGGGCTTGGTTGTGCTCAGCTTAGTCTGAGTTGCAGGGGGATTTGAGCTGGTGAGCTGCGTTGTTGTTGTTTGGCTTCGTGTTTGTGGCCGTGCAAGCTCTTCATGGTGGGTGTCAGTCTGCTTCATGTATAGATTGGAGGGGTTTAAAGTGGCTAATGATGCAGCTGCGGTCTGGCTTCTGGTCCTTGGTCGTGGCTCATTATCAGTGTGGGTTTGAGTCTGCTTTCTGCGTGGATGTGTGGTGGTGACATCCTGTGTGGCTCTCGTGAGTGTGGGTCTGGTGTCATTCGTCGTGTTAGGGACTCGTTTGTCAATAAGGGCGGGTTTCCAAATGGCTGGTAGGCGGGAGGTATCGTCTCATTTGTTCATGCTGTGTGGGCGTTTTTCTATCTCGATGGCTTCTCTGATTATTCTGTTGTTAAAGTGTTCAGTTTTGGCGATAGTTCTGGTCTTTTTAAAGTCAATATCATGTCCTGTGGCTTTAAGGTGTTGGACCAGGGAAGAAGTTGGTTCCTCTTTTCTGACTGAGTTCTTGTGTTCTTCTATGCGTGCACTTATTCGCCTGTTGGTTTGTCCGATGTATGTGGTGGGGCAGGCGGTGCATGGGATTTCATATACTCCTTGATTTTCTAACTCAATTTTGTCTTTGGGGTTCCTTAGGATGGTGGATATTTTTCGGTTTGTGCAGAATGCTGTCTTGATGTTATGTTTGTGGAGGATTTTGCTTATTCTGTCTGTGGTGCCTTTTATGTATGGGAGGAGGGCTTTGCCGTTTTCTTGTTCTCTGTCTTGGATTTTAGTGGGGGTTTCTTTTTGGATTAGGTTGGTGATCTTATGAAGAGCTCGCCACGGCCACAAACACGAAGCCAAACAACAACAATGCAGCTCACCAGCTCAAATCCCCCTGCAACTCAGACTAAGCTGAGCACAACCAAGCCCCCATCCAAACAGAACACACCCCCACCCAATCAGAGCACAACCAACCCCCCATCCAATCAGAGCACAGCCAAGCCCCTAACCAATCAGAACACACCTCCACCCAATCAGAACACAGCCAAGTTCCCACCCAATCAGCTCACATCCCCACTAGCAGTTAAAAGGAAGAGACAGCTGCGATCTCACATTGCTCCTGGAAGCACGAAGCCGAGAACACCAGCCTGAAGATGACGAATGAGACTTCGTCGAAACATCGCCAAGACACTTCCAATTTTATGTGGGAGAAGACCTGAATAACCAAAGACCTACATATATATATATATGTATATATGTATATATATATATGATAACACATGTCAGCATAAATTTTTTGCCTTCAAATATAATGTACTGTATGGTTGTGAAATCTGGACCACTGGGAGAGGGGAATAGATGC